ACAGGGATGAGGCTACTTGTAGGGAGAAGGAAGCTCTCCCAGAAATATTTCATTGCTCTGTGCTGTTTTCTGTTAAAACAACAGGTCTTTTAGAACATAACTGTAATCAAGCTACCACCCTGTAACAATCTTTTGTCTTTCACATGTAGTCTCTCACATGTAAAGGGTGTCTTATTATCCATGGCGTGTACTCCCTGACCGTCTTACAAAGCATTACATCAAATGCTGTGCTCCACACAGTATCACCAATTCCCCTTCCCCTGCAACTTCCAGTACTGGCATATTCCTGGATAAAGGCAGTCTTAATTATGAAACAGTATGACTGATATAGAAAATACACATTTGAAATGGATTTGTACTGGGGTTTGGGTTTTTTTTTCTGCCTTAATGTTTTTTATATGTATGTATGTATATATATAACGTTTGGTGTTGACATGCTAGAACAAGCTTGGTGACCTTATGAATAAAACCAGGTTTCTGTCAGGGTCCAGATGACTACTCAGCTTGTTGCCATCGTATTTTGGAGTGGAACACCCATAGTTTTGTATTTCACACAGGGATTGCCTGCAGCTGACAAAGAGAGCAAGCCAAATTCTGCTCTCAGTTAAGTGAGGTAAATAGAATGGCTTTCCTGGAACTAGAACAGGCATGCTGGGCTGTCATCAGTTAACTGAGCACACAGTCAGACCATTGTCTCTCTTACTCAACCACTGTAGTCCAGTGACTTAAGCAGCATTTCTCCTCCTTTCATTAGTACAGTAAAGCAGAATTTGGTCTTCTGCCATCTTTCTTTTCTGAGTGTACAGGTTTTTTGGCTACAATATAAAAACTCATGAGAAAAAGTTTTCTTCATTTGAATAAAGCAAGATTTTAAATAAAATTAACTAGACTGGAGGGGAAGGAGGCTTTCTCATAGTATTTTGAAGATTTTTGATAATTTTTTTTCAGGAAACATAGTTAATTTGAAATTTTATAAAAACACTGAATGTATTCTGTAAATAAGTTTATCCTGATGAGTTTAGGCCCTCATTCAAGCAGCAAAAGCTTCTAACCATCTGTTTTATAACTCCTTCGAATTGTCATTTATACCAAAACTGTCTCCCTGGGCTTCTCTTATGCAAAGAAGGAGAATGGGTCTCATGTCATACAGAAAGTACTAGTTCAGACAGTCTAAAGTTATTCCCACCACAACATTCTTTAGCCACTCTTCAGGCAATTTAAGATAATAGATTATTAAAAACATATAGTCTATGTTGTTACTCCTAATGTTGCTACTGGCAGCACAGTTCCATTGGCAGTTGTATAGCCATTAAAAATTTACAGGTAAGTACATCTCACTTTGTCACTTTTATGTTTTACAAATGGGTTCCCCAAAACTAAGTAAATCTGAACAATCTTCAGAAATTTTCTCAATGTAAAAATATCATCTGACTTCTATAAATATAGAAGACAGTATGAATCTTTGACACACTGTTCACTATTTTTCATCCTATACCTGCTCTTTCATAGGTAAAACACTGACAACTTTCATGCATTTAAAAATCACAAATAAAAATACTAGTATTACAAGTGGACAAAAAAACTTGACTATCCTATCAAAAAGAGCAAAAAGAAATTAAAAAAAAAAAATAATCACAGATTAGTAAAGACAAGGTACCAAAACCAAGGGTACGAGAACATGGGAAGATTTTAATTATTTTTTAAAATCAGATCAAGTAGACAGTTAAAAAAACATTTTAATGTATAAAACATGGATTCTAATAGATTTTTTTTCCTAGTGAATTAGAAAACATTTTAAGAAGAGAGGTGGGGTAAATGGGGCAAAAATGCCAAAAGAAGAGCAGGAGAGGTAAAATAAAATACACAAGCAGTAAAGAATACAAACTGGGTGTTGTAGCAACCAAAAAAAACGAAGAATCTGGAAGGAAAAGTAATGAACAAATTTAGAGGCAAACAAATGGAACAAGTTGGGAGGTATGGGGCATCAAAGGGGAAATCGGGAACTCAGAAACAGCTCCTAAATCTACATTACTGAAGAAACTAAGTATTATGCTGTGTGCCTCATTTAAACATAACTGCTCTAAGACCACTAATGTAGATATATAAGCACAAAGTTCAGTAGAGGATGATAATCCTGAGGAGATGGTCATATACTCATGCTATCAGCCTGTGCTAACTACACTGTTAGCATTCAAATTAGCTAGTTCAGATCTGTTTCGGCTGAAATTGTATTACTGATTTCAGTACATCCATCTATGTGACGACATACAAAAGTTCTTTCCCCCTTCCCTTCACCACACAAAAAAAGAAAAAAAAAAAAAAAAAAGGCTTCCTAAACCCTGTTATCTTATAAATACTCACTTTTCTCAGCATGCCTTTCTGGAATGGGACCTTTTAAATCCAATAGTTAATTCTTCTAGAAGCCATTTTGACTACATCATCTTTACTTCAATTGTAAGTACACTTCATTTTTATTATCTCACTGATTATGGTTTTTCTATCACTGCAGAGGTGCATTCTCATGGAGAACTGGTCCTGTGATAAAAAAGTGGTGGACTTACAGGACTAGATAATTACTGTCTTGGAGAATATGAGTTTTGAGCAAGATCAGGACTACAGCATTTTGTGGACACTGTGGGCTGTTTTAGAGACTGAGTTTACCTTGGGACCTTGATGTTATAGGCTTTACTACTCTTCTAAATATGTATGTTGTTAGCTAGTTGTAAATAATTTTCTTGGGGAAATGGTTGCAGTGTGCTTCCTAGATGTCTATCGTATTCCTAAATGCTTATTTTTGCTTGTTTTTACTTGGAAAAGCTAGCAAGTAAATAATTACAAAATGAGGAAGGTGTGTCTTCAGCTTGGCTCTGTGGCTGAAGCCCTTGATAAGAAACTTAAAGTCTTTTAATTTCTGTTCCTTTTATTAATTTGTTCAACAGCAATTTTTTAGTTTGTGCTTAGCTTGGTCTGCAATGATACACAGACCATGTAAATCTCACCCACAAGTACTGGAAGAGCCACAATCATCAGGAGTACATTCCAGTATATCTGGGCATATGCAGAGGGTTATTTTTTGGAACAGTTGTCTTCTAGAGATTGGGGAAGGGAGGGGGTGGCAGCAGTGGCTTTGTAGCATCTGCTGTGAATTCACCAGCAGTAGCACGTGCAGAGTAGGCCAAATTGGTTTTGTATCACTCAGCAGGGACTCCAATTAAAAGAAGTAGCTGCTTTTTTTTTTTTCCCCCTTCTTTGAAACCTCCCTGTGATTAACTCAAACTTGAATAAGGAATTGCGTATAGGAAAGATCAGAGCTGTTGTTCCTCTTCATTATGTAGCAGCTATAGATATTTTCTTCATGCTACGTAAAGCCAAGTGATCTCTTTAGCTTTTCTTCTGATATCTTGCTCGCAAGTTAACAAAAGTATAAAAATTAAGCTTTAGTATGTTTTAAAGTTCTTTCAGTCTTTAGAGTATTTTCTTATTTTACACTATTTTACTGTTGCAATGTTCTGCTCATTCAGTCCAGAGTACTTCTGAAATATCATGGTATTGGGGAGGGGAGAAGTATGTCCTAAATATTGGCAGATGCATAATCTTTTCCTCTCATTGTTTTTTGTAAGGTTTAAATATAATTATAAAAGTTTACTAGTTAAAATAAATGTAGGTATGAACACTGCAAATATTGCCAAAACTAAATCAGTCTTTCTGCTGTCACTTCAAAATCAGTGCAAGATTCTGCAAACATTTGATTCCAAACTCCTTTTTAAATTTTTTGGACTTTCTTTTGTATTTTCTTTATATAACTGTGGTTTAAAAAGCAAACAAAAAAACCTGTTGTTCTGAGTTAAAATGTATAAAGATTTGCTTCTTTTTGCATTTATATATTTAGTGAAAACAAAATGCATTTCTTTATTTTACTATAATTTATGTCTTCAGGTTTTTTTCAATATTAATAAAGGTGTAAGCAAAATACAATATGGCTTAGAAGCACAATGCTTCCCAGTTGAAGTGAAGATTTGCTGATTAGTTCCAATGACAACCAGTAGCAAGATGCTGTGGAGCTTTCGCTTCACTATTATACGGAATTTATCAATTATGAATTCAATGGTTTGAATGTACCTAAATGTTATAACTGCTGTTTATAAGCAAATGTGGTAAACTACTATATGATGAATAAGGTGTTGCCCTGATATTCAGTAGCTCTTAGATAGACTTCCTAATTCAACTACAGACTAAGGTTTTGCAGAAGGTCATTCAAATTCTGTTATTCCTCTCAAAATGGAAAATCTGGTGGTAGTAAAACTGATTTTGAAAACAGGAGAGCTATAGTGATAAATATACTAACATATGTTGTGAGACAGCATTCATTACTTAGCCTGAGATGTAAGGAATAATATTTACAAGCAACTCTGACATACTTTTTTTGACACTAGAAAGCCTTTCTGTCTTTCGCATCTAGTAAAATCTATCCTTAATCTTTACATTTATGTTTTTTCCCCAAGCTTCCACCAACACAGATTTTTATGAAGGTAACAGTTGCCAAGTTTATGTAAAAGCTAATTCCTCCTCTTCCAGATGACCCACTTATGTTATGTACCAATGTACTACAGTGATCCCATAATCATCTGGCCAATGCACATGTTCATTCTATTGCACAGTGTCCTACAAATTCTGCAGACTTACTGAGAGAACCACAGCTGCCTTACCACACTGCCTACAGCATTGCTCAAGAGAAGTATTATGGGTAACAGTCCAATGGCTTTCCTTAAATATCTTACCAAATAAACATCCCTCTAATAAATCATATCTCAATTTAAATAAACAGTGTGCATAAATGAAGTCTTTTCATTTTCTGAAATCATAACAATGTCTTTGATAAATAGACCTGATCTGGTTACAAACTCTGTTTCAGGTTAAGATCACTTCAATATTGTTTTGCATTCTCTACTTCAAATGCTTCTTCCTATATGATCCTTATTATCAGAAAAGCAAGCAATTACCGAGACAATCTCGTCCTCTGCCGGTACAGTTGCTGCTGATAGTGCTGCTGCCAGTGCTGCTGCCCTGGCTGCCTTCCTCATTGCTCTCTGAGTCTGAAGATTGGTAAAGTAGTTGACAGCTGCAAACTCAATAAGTGCAGAGAAGACAAAGGCAAAGCATACAGCTATGAACCAATCCATGGCAGTAGCATAGGACACCTTGGGCAAAGAATGGCGTGCACTGATGCTTAAAGTGGTCATAGTTAGAACTGTAGTGATTCCTTGAAAATAAAAGAAAGAAAATGGGGAATTAGACTTTTGCTTCAAACCTGCTTCTCTTAAATTCATATATATTAAAAAAAAAAAAAACAAAACAACAGGTCCTTTTTGGTTTTAGATGTCTTCCTACGTACCAGCTAACCAACAAGACTGCTGAGTATTTTGTATTCTTAAATAATTCATGTATACTGGCTTCAGCATCTAAAAGCTCTGAACAAACTACCTTAATACTCTGAGCAGACTGAACATTAAGATAACTACATACTACATGGTGCAGGTTCTTAGAATTGTGATAAGCATGGGTGTAACAAAATTCAGGCTCAAACTATGAAATGCACTTTACTCTGGGGGTTAGTAAGTGGATTGTTTGTCAGAAATCTATGTTAACATACTCCCATTTCTCTACGGTGATTCTCTCTCTTCTTGTTGCACAAGACAGATCATGGCTTACAGAACCCTCACTGAATCAGTCAAGTTCTGAATTAAAATCAGTGGTAGGCTATGATCCAAATATTTCAAGTAATAGGAGTCTGGTCCTCTGTGATGTTGTCTTTAATCACTGCATACATTCTTTAAAATTCACTAACAGTACCTGAATTTGAAAATGCCTACAGTTACAAAGATGGAAGGACAGAAAAGCAACTTCTCTAGAGCTGCATATCTTTTTTCACAGAACAAATCTGGTCATGTAGCTCATGAGCACGATAGTGTTTTTCATGTGAATTCATTAATTTATTCTTTCTGGTTTGGAGTGTAGAGCATTAATAATGTGGGAAATGTACTTACTTCCCACTGCTGCCTGATACAAGCAGAAAGTGCAAGAACAAATTCATTCATTAACATATAAGCCTCCGTGACTCATGTTTACTTATAATTATGCCTGCTTGAATGTGAAAACCGCAGGTATTTAAAGACAGTAAGGTGGAAAATACCCTCTTCTGTTCTCTTCTGCATTTGGGAAAGGGTAGGTGGGAAAGTAAAAGAAGTTAAAATGTCATGTTGTGATGATGAATCAATATGGTATGAATGATGCTCAGTGGAAAGGATGCAGTGTCATTGCACACTGCAGCATCAAGACAGGGTGACTTGATTATTTTCAGAGGTTTTTTTGCAACTCTTTCACATGATGTAGCTTGCCAGCTGTCTGAGGTTAACTACGTCTCAATGTCATTACTTAACATGTTTTAATTAAATGCAAATAAGAGATGGTATAAAAATATGTAGGATCTCTACTTCTCCCAAATCTGCCAGATTCATTTTATAATACGAATACAAGTATGCTGAGATATATTTCAATTTCAAAGGTCCAGAATGAACTTTTCAATATGATGTGTATTAGATTAGAATCTGTCCATGTGCTGGTTAGTAATAAAAATGATATATTCTGTGTCTGAATAAAAACTTACTGCAGCAGGAATTTAAACTTAGGAAGAGGACTCTTATTCTATTACAGATACAGATAAGACTTCTCTCAATGTGGAGTGAATATTGATGAAATACTCTGCACTGTGGAAAACTACTTTATCAAACTGCATAACAGATTACAGTTGGTAAACTGTGTAACTGATTATTGTTTACCCTTACCTATCCACTTTGAATACTTCTTGGGAAGTTTTGAAGAATCTTCTACATAATGTAAATACTGAAATATATTGTATTTTCTTATTAAAAATGAAACAACAAAAAACATCTTTCCCTATCTGAGACTTCATAATAAAAAGTTTAATGACTAGATATTCGTTTAAAATTCCCAGGGTGATCTGCTGGGAAGGTAGAAGCTGACTACTATCTTTCTGCAAAATAACAGATGAACTTTTTGCCAGGAATAAAACAGATTAGATAAAGGCACATAAAAATGTGAAATAATAGCCACTGCTATATGGATTCAGAGCATACTTAAAATTAGGCCTCCAATAATCATGTTTCTTATTCTAAGTAATTTCTGATAATGCCATGCTTCATAAAACTTCATATATATATACACACATGTATATGCATAGCTACGTACATAACTCCACATAAAATAAGGAATTTTATACTAGCAATCTGCTGTTCTTTCCAATGACATGATTATAAAGAACGCAAGAATGCCTCTTCAAGTATTTCTGTCTCCCATTATTCAATTGCAGGTCTGCAAAAAGTAGGTACTTATGACCATTAATTTATCTTTGCAGAATTTTCAGAGTATTTATTGCAATATTAATTACAAATTATAACTGGCATCTGTAGAGTTGCTAGATGAATTTGTCTGGAGAAATCGGTTTGAGCACACCACTGTTATCCTTCTACTATTAATTTATCTTCTCTCAAACTCACAATTTGGGCACTTGGAAGTAAAACTGAAAATTTATAATTCAAGTATTTGCAGTATGATGCAGAAAGAAGACTTACTTCTCCATTTTAAGCCTTTTGTTTTTTACTGGGGCCTGAAAGTCTTTTACGTTATAAGGAATTCGACCTCTTTTTCTGAGATGAAGGTATTCAGAATCCATGGGATTTTGAATTAGTAAGGACTATAAATTCAGACTGTGCCTGGGAGAAAGAAGAATGGAATAGGGATTGAAACATTCTTTAAAATGCCAACATGACTCATTTTCCACAATCCTGAGAAGGATGTCTACTTTACTATTTTCGTAAAATATTTTGTTTCTAATTCTGTATTTATTCTTCAGTACGACATCTAAGTGTTGTTATTCCAGGGTTTGGGGTGTTTATGTAATTATTACTGAATCAGCTAAAGACTTATTTCCACATTAGTTCAAGCATATAAAATTGACTGCCCACTAGGTAGCAAGTATGTTTTATTCAAAATGTAGAGGATACAGCTGTAGAGTCCAGAGATTCAATATAAAGCCAAATCTGGTAGCATCGTATTTGGTGTACAAACCTCATGTATCCATTTTATGCTTCAATTGCAATAAATATCCTTGAAAATCTATTGCCTGAAATTTTCATTTTTAAAGCACTTAAAAAAATCCCAATTGTCAGATAATAATACTTTTAAGTGCTTAATGATGCCAGACTGCATCCCAAATCCCAGTGTTGTTCTTCCTTCAGAGGCACATGAGGAAGTTGTGTTCACTTAGCATTCCTAAAAGTTTGCAATGCTTATATGAATACCACACCATGCAGGTAGGAAACACCAACTGACTGAGATCAATTTATATAAATTCTGTAGCCTTCTAACTACAACTGCAGACTCATTTTGAATTATGCGACTTGCATCATTTATGCTTAGGGAACATATAGCTGCCTTTTTTACTGAAGACAAGTCTCACAAAAGGAATTTTCTGTATAGAAATACTTTGTTAAGGGAAGACAGGGTTGTAAAATGTGTATGGATGGGCAGTGGATTCATGAAGTTTTTGACAAGTTTTATTATTTTTGCTTAGTATTTTTATGAATGTTTTGCTAGAAACTATTCAGTCAGTGAAAGTTTACTCCTTAATGAGTGAAGTTTCAGAGCTTACCACTATTGAAGTGTAGAGGCATGGTGTCAAATTTAATAGCAGAGCACACACTAAAAATTAAGGAGACAAAACCCAGCTTTGGGAGCATTAATTCAAACCACTGGAAAGAAAAAGGGGCCCTGCAGTGGAATATGGACACACCTTTCACATTACAGCTCCAATCTGTCCTAAGACTCATCTCACCTAATTTTGTCCATCTAAAGTCCTTGCCAGTTGTTTAGATATCTTTGTAGACAAGGGGAAGAGAGCACTTCAGAATGAGTTCTAGATGAGGTGGTACCTTATGTCAGATGAGATTAATTCCATCCCATGTGATTTTTTTTTTTAAACATTTAACTCAGATTGGTTTCACAAGACAATAAATCAATACAAAAATTCCTCTTTAAAAAATCAAGTGGTTGACATTTGCTCTGAAACTGTCACTTCCTGCATACAAAAAAATATCAAGGAGAAGAAAAACATCACAAACAAATCTGGCTAACCAAACATTCACAGTAAAGAATTTTGACCCTCACGGGCAGACTGAATATTATTTGGTTTAATTTTAGTATTTACTTTTTTTCATTGAAACCTATTAGCTGTCTTTTCCAATCCCCACTGGATTACAGTAGCAGTTTGATACAATGGATTCAACAGTGAATGAAGTGAATGATAAAAGAACAAAACATGAATACCAGCCACGGTTCTTGCTGGAACAGATTCTTTGTTGAACCAAAACACAACTTGAGACAGGACTACAGTCATGATGCATGGAATGTATGTCTGAATGACACAGTAGCCTATTTTCCTTTGAAGATAGAAATAGAGTAGCTGAAGGGAATATTCGCCTAAAACAAACAAGCAATGAAAGTAATGAATGAATGCTATATGCGATGCTGAGCTGTTTAAAGACCTTAATGCAGCATACCAAAAACTGTTCTGGCTGGAACAGACTCCTTGTTAATCCAGAAAGACACCTGAGAAAGAATGACTGTCATAATGCATGGAGTGTATATTTGTATCATGAAGTAGCCCATCTTCCTTTGCAAGTGGAAATAAACAGTCATGATTACATATTCACCTGTTAAGAGACAAGTATGTCAGCATTATTTTGGCAACATATGAATAAGCATTATTGGCTTAAACCCAGCATAATATGTTCTGAGGAAAGCACTTACAGGCCTCCTAGTGCATAATAAAAATAAGCTGATTAAGAATGGTAAAGTGACCTCATGGAAACAGAGGAGAATAATATTACGTATTGTTTTTACTGAAGCAGGGAGACAGAGGGAATTCTTAAGAATTGCATGAAAAACTGTATGCTTAAAGGGACTGTATTGAAAAGCTATCTTTTAAGACAATGGTTAGATTCTTTCCAAGGATTTTAGCTTTTAAAATGGCAAAAGATAATTAAACTGATTTGGTTCTATATGAAAAAAACTGTAATTTATTTTCAAGATGTGTTTTATAATGTCAGTAGTTCCCACATGGCTACATCTTACCTGTGTTAGATTTAACTGTTTCACTAGATACAGTTTGTCCTATAAGGTCATACTGGAGGAGACTGGAAGATTCCTGTGGTACTTCTACTGAATGCAGGGGTCCTTTTTTCCATGTGTAAATTATTTCATTTTTTGGATAAGCATCTGAGTTACAGAAGGAAAAACAACTATTATTAATTATGAAATTTATAAGCAATTGAAAAATTAAGTAGCATGATCTGTTTGGTGGCTCAGATACCCATAGAAACATGCATCTTGCTCCAGCAAGTACCTAACCTCATTAATGACAAAATGCAAAAAAATCAAGAATAAGAGAATGGTTGAGATGGGGCCTGATAGGCACTAGCTTTTGTTTCTTAATTTGCTATAAAACACATACGTTGATTACCACAGATCAACTATTTTCAAAATTGATTACCACACATCCACTAAATAATTGCAGAAATAGAAGCAATATAGTAAATGAACCACAGCTTTTGTAACTTGTTGAAGGACCCACTTTGACTACTAGATGTGTAAGAATAATAAACAATAAAATATGCTTCAACAGTCACCCTTCAGTGAATAAATCCATGTCCTTATAAATGGTCTGAGTCTCAGTGCAGAAAGTAAGATTCTAGTATAAAAAATGTAATAAAAAATTTCAGCTATGTCATTAAGTAGTGTCCTAGGATCTCACTTCTCATCTTCTCACATACATGTAGACCAAATGTATTAACATAAAAAATTTAAAGATATGGAAAAACTTACAGCTTCCAAACTTCAATGGACAAGCATGTCCATCCATAGGGAAGTTCACCAACCGCATTGGGCAATCAGCATTAATGGTTAGTCTAGAATACATTATAGTAGATGACAATGAAAAAAAATGGTATGCAGAAACACTGCTGAAACAATCAAAACTAAAGGTCAATGAAAAGCAGAAGAATAGGCTCTCACCTCATTGTATAAAGAATAGTTCCATTCTGCATAATTCTGAAAAGTTTGTTAGGAGTTGTCATGTTATGAGCAATTGATTTTTTTCCATTTCTAAAAAATGTGTCTGGTGTCCAAATTCTACTGACCATTAAATTGTTCAATCTCAAAATTTCAGTTGGCCCACTAAACTTCAACCTCTCATCAGTCCATGTCTGCCGAAAGAAGACATCCATTGTGTATTCCTATGGAAAATAAATAGATGGTTGACTTATGTGTGGGGGCCAGCAGTCCCAAGTTGCTGTATATACAGTAACTCCATGAAAGAACCTAACACACGTCAATGACATTTCATTTACTGCTTAAACACTTAATCCTATTACCATCAAGTAGTTACTAAAAAAAAAAGTAGTCTATGAAAACATATCCTATTTTAGTATTTAAATAATAGTTACAAATTAATCAGTGAACAGATAATTCTATATGAGTAAGAAAAAAAAAAAACATTGTCCTTTCAGAGATAATAATTTAATTCAAAGTGACTGAGGTCTAAGGACATACAAACGTCTAATCTAGTATCCTTTCAAAGTGCAAAACCAAACTATCAATGTTTAATCGACAGGAACAAAAAGACATACTCAGTGCCTCTTCTGCAGCTTACTTTGAATAGTCACAATGAAAGGACTGATGTGAGTCACATCGCAGTAGGATTCTGATGTCAATTTAATAATAATCTAAGTTATTTTTCTTAAGGATTCTTAGTAATATTCTCACAAGTTTTAAGAAAGCAGCTCTCTACAGAAGTTGCTTAGGAAATGGGGCTAAACCTTGGCCAGAGGCAAATTTTGTAAGAAGGCATGGTTACGCCTTCTCTTAGACTGAGTGATCAAGAGAGGTGGAAAAACCTTTGGTTGTATCTTGGGTCCCAGAGTTCCTTGCCTGCAAACTGGACTGCAGGCTCAGGTGTGCAGGCGTTGGAGGAAGTATGCAAGGGCAACAATAGCACTCAGTTTCCAGAATGAGAACAGCAATGCCATCCTCACTCCGACAGCATTTTCCTGGGGCTGCTGCTGTAACTGACAGTTCACCCAAGTCCACAGCTATCTGAATTTGGGGGCACCCAGCATGACAATGGGCAGCTGTCTCAGAAATGGCACCACCATTCCCCTGCAGCTGCTCATTAGGTTGTCTCCTACCTGCAACCCTCCTGCAAACCTGCGTTGGGCCACAGATGCTTAAAATCTTCTTACCAAGGCTAAGGAGGCACCTGTGCCCACCTGTGCCGTCACCCAAGGCTAGCGGGCCTGAGCCATGGGCTGCCTTGGCTGGCGCTGCCCGGGATATATGCAGCTGCAGTCAAACTGCTCTGCTGGGCCCCAGAGATTGTCAAAAAGATTAAGACTCGTAATCTGCTTTAATGACGGTCAACTCAGATGTCACCGTAATGAATCCGGGGAATGGAGAGCAGAGGCAGCAAGCGGGGCCCTCACCATCTCCACGTCGGACACCGGCCCGAAGCTGGTCACGTAGATGTCCGTTTTGACTTCTGTCACGGCGCCTGCGGGACACGGAGACGAGCTGGGAGCGGGGCAGGGGCCGGCGGGGCGCGGACCCCCGCGGCGGAGCCCCTCGGGGCCGCGGTACGAGCGCAGCAGCGGGGCGGCCCGGCCGGAGTCGGCGGGCCGGGGGCTGGCGGGGCACGGGAAACTTTCCTCCTTCGCCGCCCGCCTCTTGGGCTTCGCCGCCTCCCTCCTGCCGGCCCCGGGACGGGACCCTCGGCCCCGGGACGGGACCCTCCTCCCCGCGCCCGCCCGGGCGACCCCCTCCGCCGGCAGCGGTAGAACTGCCGCGCGCGCTCTCAGTCTCCCCGAGGGGACGGGAGTTTCCTCTCTACCTCCAAATCCCGGTCGGATCCTGTTGTCGTACCCGTCCAACAGCTTGTCGAGGATCCGAGTGATGTTTTCCGAGTAGACGTCCGCCCCGCCGCCCCGGCTGCCCAGCGCCTTCGCTGCGCTGCGGGGAGAGGCCGGCCCCGCCGTCAGCCCTCGCGCCGGGCTCGCGCCCCCGTCCCCTCGCCTCAGCGCTCCCGCCAAACGCCCGCCTGGCGAGGCCCCGGCCCTAGGGGCGAGCGGAGGCGGGCAGCGGGCCCGGCGTCCCGTACCCGCTCCTCCGGGCTGCGGCGGGGCATGAGGGCGCCTCGGGGGGCCGGTGGGGCTGGGGCGGGAAGCGGGGGCAGCGCACTCACCTCACAGCGACGCATACCCAGGCGATGAGCAGAGCCATGCCTCGGGAGTGTGCGAGGACGCTCGGGTGCCCTCAGAGCCGTCACCTGGAGCCGTCGTCGGCGCTCATCCCTCCGTCTCCGCTCGGCCAGGGCCTCCGCCGGCTGAGGCGACCGGAGAGCGCGGCTGGCTCACCGCTTTCCCCTCGGCCGCCCTCTGCCCGGGCAGCGGCGGTGGAGGGTGCCTGTGGCCGCCTGGCCCCTTTGCATTCGCCACCGCCGTTGAGCCTCATCTGGACGCCCCAGAGGGGGAATTAGGGTTTGAAGGGCCGGTGTGCGGTCGGAGAGCACTGACAATAATCGAATAAGGCATTAGGGGAGATTAAAAGGAAGAAATCCACGCCTAGTTTTGGCATGGAATTAGCAGGGACCCGTTAGCAAATCTGGAAAAGCACTGGCATCTTGCTGATAGAGATTATGTTAGAAATGGTCTCAGCTTTTATTGTGTTTATGGTTCACAGGGAGATTATTATGCAGTTTCTGCATCATTAGAACTTCGGGGGGAAAAAAAAAAAAAAAAGAGAAAAAGAAAACCAACCCCCAAGACCCTACAGTTTCCAATTTACTTAGTTTTTTGACCTTTCTCAATAGATTTCCCCATGAGCAGTCCTTCCTAACTGTACAGAGGGCTTGAATATCTAAACATCTTAATATATGAGCATTGAACAGTAAAAGTTGGTTCTGGTTCATGTTTTTGGATTTTTAAAATTCTTTGGTTTTGTTTTTTTTTGTTTTTTTGTTTTTTTTTTTTTGTTGTTAATAATCTGTTTTGGAGGGTTACATACACGGATTTCACTTGGACTTTAAACCAGAGCATTACTAGAACTGTTGTTAGAATTTGAGCTCCTTTAAACCACCAGGATTGTACGTCTTACTAATTTTGTCCTGAGAAGCACTGAATTGATCATTACTGTCCCCTCTTTTGGTGTGTTAATGTAGTCAGCCCTAAAGGAAAATAAGTTCAGGCTGCTCCAACTTTTTCTGTGACCTTATTACTTCTTATAAAGCCAGTGAATGATGTAGCACCTATGTCATTTAGTGGCACTGTAAACAAAGCAATTGGGTCCATTTTCTTTCCTCATGGTAGTACATAGGAACAAATAACTAGACCAAAGCAAATTAATTATTTTCACAAAATTTTGTTGCATAAACCACATTTGCATTACCAGCTTCTAAGGAAATATATTCAATTATCAAGCAGTGGAAAGTAAGTTTTTGCATGAAACTAAGAGAACTGTGAATGTATTCATCAATAAAACTAGATGAAGTCCAACACTGGGGTTCTGTGCTCAAGAAACCAAAAGTATATAAGAATGCATTTAAAAATACAGGCTACCCTCTGTCACTGAGTCCCTGTCCATGTTGTTGTGGGCAGTAGTGTCATATAATCCACACTGGTGGGTTGGTTGCACGCAGCCAGAGGTTGCCTCTGCCTTTGAACAGTTGTGAACCCAAATTCCTGAGAGCCTTTGGTGCTCTGTGAATACACCTAAAATGTGATCTCTGTGACTTCATCATGAGTGAGTATAGCTCAGTGTTTTTGTTGATACTCAGAAGCATTTATCTGCCTGAATTTATTCACAGACAATAGAACTGCATCTGTGAAAAATCAAAGGCTTGTATGAACTACTAGGTAGAAAAGGGAAAAATCGGCAAATCAGAACCTTCTGAGGGTTATGGTCTTCTATCTGGTCCTAATTTAAAACCTACTAGTTTGAAATTTTACCCCATTTTTCAAATATGTTTGATCTTACTGACATGGTTGAGGCTTTTGTGTGCATCGCTCTTCTCAGAACATTAAAACTACATTTAGCATATAAACAATACTAATACCCATTTTTGCAAATATGCTCCTGTTAGTATTAAATATGGAAACACATTTTAAAGTCTTCTTTTTCTGGCTCCATTGGATCACTTTATTCACTGTTGAGATCTATGTTCTATGCCCCATCTAACATCTCTTCTTGGAATAATGTCGTTTTTGTTTTTGAATGGAAGGAAAAAGAAGTCTTGTCAAAATATTAGCAAGAGTAGTCTGATTTCATTCGCAAAATGTGCAAGAGGAGAAAACTTTTTCAAATAAAGCATATCTTGTCCAATCAGCATCCCCTAGCTTAATTACACACATCCAATTTGTCTTTTTTTAACGGGTTTATTTTAGCAGCTTCTTTTAACACACCTCTGCTGGGCATTAAAAGCCAAGTGCTACACTGGGCTACCAGCCACTCCTTATTTCCTTTACTTCACTTTGTTTTGTTGTGAATTAGACAAGAACACATTTTCTGCTAATCACATAATTTACAACTAACTGTCTTTTGTTCAATAGCACCCTGTTCCAAATTAGACTCCTGTTGTGTAAAGAGACAGTCTGCCTCGTTTGCTAAGAGCAGACTCGGAGTTGAGTCAGAGAACTGGAATATTTGGGTTTTTTTTTCCGTGGAAATTGGGGGAGACTAATACATTTACTTTTTGGACCAGGTTGGACATACAGCGCAGCAGCTGTCCTGGGACATCAGTGATGGTCTTACATAGATAAAACATCTAGGTAAGTGCAGTGTTTAAGAAATTTGGGTTTAGATATATGGCCATCCATGGAAGCCTGCTACGTAACTTACTTAGACTGAAGAATAAGTGTTTTGTGGAGAAAACAAATAAAACAGAGAACAGAAACTATGCATTTAAATGTTTTAGGAGTTCACTGTGCTCTGTTTAACCTTTTCACTTAAGGAAAGCTAAAAGGATGATTTGGACAGATAAACAATTCAGTATTTGCCTTCAAAATAAAAATAGAGATCATGACACTTGTCCTGAAACAGGACAGCTGTGTTGAATCCCAGCCAAAAGCTAAGTGAGGTCTAGCAGCAGCATGTTCCATTACCCAGACTTAGTGTTGCTACTGTGAGGAGTGCAGCTCACACCTCCCAATGCCAGCTTGCCCTGCTGAAAAAGATACTTTACGGGAGTAACACAGTAAACGAGCATTTACTTCGTGTAAATTCTGTCCTACACAGCTATTCCCTTTTCAGTCCCTGAACTAGTTTCCATACTGCTACACAGCACTGGGTCTTGCTCTGTTGTTATACTACTGTTGAAATTAATTAATGAATGCTGTAAATAAAGGAATGCAAGTTGCAAGTTGGGAGCTGAATGTGAGTCCAAGTGCAGTGAATCAATGAGAATTTAAAGTAAATCCAGATTAGTGTAATGTGTGCATTGAAGAAGCTAGAGGAAAGCATACATGTGCATCAGCTTGAACACACTGGACTCCCTAAGTTGTGTATTATTATCTCACTTCTGAGTCAAGCCTAGCAATTCTTGCATGGCAGCATGGATCTCTGATAGCAAGGCAGATAACTTGGGTAAGGGGACTGCAGTGTTTGAATGAGTCATATAATTTCAGTCTGAGATTTCCCTGCAGGAAAATGACATGAAAATATTCTTTGTAAGGAATTTGCAGAGAAGAGTCAGACAGGCAAAAAAAATCTCAAAGCCATTCAAAATATTCCAGCCTGCCCTCTAAAATGCTAAAAACAATCTTTGCTTGGTAAAAGCAGGAGAAGAGACTTTACTGTCTGTCACAGAGCTAGATGGTTGCATAAGCTGAAGTAGGCTTTGGATAGATATTTTAATCTAATCTTGACCTTTCAGCTAATGTTTTCTTTTTGTGGATTTGGAATTTTTGAGAGCAAAACAGATATATTCCCTTTCTCAGCAGTTTTTAAATTCTTTGAACCAAGAAGTTGTGTACTCTTGTATTTTTTTTCTAATTACGAAGAGAAATGCTCACACTGTCAAACACACAGATTCCTTTATTAGAGAAGATCAAACCAGCAGCAGATTTTAATGAGACTGTGGTTATCAAGCCAGCTTGAGAAGAAACATCACTGAGGAAATTATTTAGAAATCATAATTTTATAAGTGATCTGAGAAATCTTTATAAAGGAATAGCGGTCATGGAGACAAAATTTTTTTGGGAGACGAAGCTCTCATGAGAATAATGAAAAAGTTTATCTTATAAAAGGCTTGTCAGCAACATATGCTTTGGGCATTTAAGCAAACAAACAATTTGGAAATTTGTTGAGAAAGTGGCATGAACTGGACAACAGCTTGGAAGAAGTGAATGGCAAATTGAGAAGTGTGGTGACAAGATTACACTTTCCAGCTGCTAATTTTATCACCTTGTAGGATGTCATTAGCACTGTGATGAAAGATGATATTTCTGATTCATTTGGGAATACTACTGCTGAAAATTAAATGAGTTTTGCAACTGCTAAAAACTCCATGAGAAATGTATTTGTTTTCTTCTTGAAACTAAGGAATTTTGAAATTAAAATAGATATTCTGACTGAAGTTTCTGTGGCAACTAGCAAGTTAAAATATGACAAATTTGGCACAAAGGCTACAAGACTGAAATTAAGTCTCTGGTATTTGCAATTAATCTGATATGTGCTAACAGTTCAGCCCCTGACAGAGATGTGTCATCACCATCTCCATTTCTTTATCCTCAGAATCTATACACTAAATGAGAAGAAATAATCTTCTATGATGTGTATGTGATTACTAAATTAATTGAAGAGACATAGAGAAACTTTCTTTTAAAGGTGCCCTTGCTTTGTGGAAAAAAATTGGATTTCATTTTTTTGTTGTTGTTTTGTTTTATATTTGTTTTTGGTTTTGTTTTTAAACTATCTCTATTTATTTCCCAGTGAAGAAATTCATTTTGTGGATGATATACAGATGAGATATAGGTAAAATAGTTTTATCCTTGTACAATTCTGTCTAAATGAGTTGCATGCCAGACTGCTGTTCCTTCATTGTTGTCTTCCTATCAAAGGACAGTGTTTACTCTGTTTACCCTTACAATATATTTCCTCTGCCTTCAAAAATCTTCAGGGAGAGTGTATTCACGTATTTCTACCTATGCTGCTCACCCCACCCTGCCCCTGATAATACTGAGTGTGAATGACTCATCTGTGCACAGATTGCATTATTGGTACCTTGCGACATGGGGAGCTGGCACAAGACAGAGCAGCTCTCAGAACTGAGGGAGCACACTATGATAAAGGTGCCTTTGTCTTAGTCATTCTTGTCCTGTACAAAGTTCAGCCACAGTGAAAAACTATTTTCTAATTGATACCTACAAATTTGAGTTACGCATCCGCAAACAAATATACAAACATACATTCTTACTTTTACATATTAAATGCTTAAATATGTGAGCCTGTATGCATAGGACATTGAACTTGGGTTTGCTTTTATGTCCAGGAAAAACAAAGGTCCAAACTGACAGAAACCATAACATATTGTTCCAAATCTCAGGTTGATTCTTAGACGTTATTCAATATG